AATGCTGCAAAACGCTAGCATTGAACAACGACGCTCCAACCTTCATCACACATACTTGTACCAGTGCCTGCGTTATAGTAGAAAACACATCTGATCTCAAAACGACGGCATAAAGATAAGTCAGAAAATGTCCATTCCTTCGCTATTGATTAGGGCTTTCTAATTTAAAGGCACAGATAAGTGAGAAAACGGAGGTATTGTTTGTACTCACTCGATTCTTGTTCTTTTATGAAATAGCCGAAAAAGAGCCCCAACATCACAAAGGCTTCCCAAGTCGACGACGAAAAAATTCTTGAAATAATTGTATCGAGTCGGAGGCGTTGCTGCGCAGAAGACACTGTCTCACTTTCGCTTATCCTGCTTCAATACAATACCGCCACTAACTTTTGAAATTTCTCCGCTGAGCGACGGATTTGCAGCGTCGCAAAGCGTCGCCCCTTCATAACTCCCCCCAAAGCGGGTCAAATGATTGGTGCTCTACACCATTGGACTCGTCTCTCTGTGGCGAGTCTAACCATGTGGAAAACTACGGTACTCGCCGTAAAAAGTCGAAAAATGCGAAACAAGGCAAATTGCTTTTGTTTTTGTTGTTTCGTTTATACTGTTCAGAATTAGATTTTCGAGAATCTGAAAGCATTGATTTCAGCTCGTCGAGTTCTATAAGAATATTGCTTTTAAACTTTTAAAAGGCCCACTTCAGATTGCGCCATGCACTCGAGCTTTGGCTCGAGAAAAAATTGTTTGAATGTGGTGCGCATATAATCCCACTTATGCATTATGATCTTTTTCAGAGAGATGGGTCTCAGTAGTTGCTCCAGAACGCGCCGCGTATTCAACATGGTCCATTGTATTGTGAATGGATCGATTGCTTTTTTCCAGATTTCATGGTCCCTATTCCATAGCGGCGCGTTAAATGACTCAACATGTACATGACTGCGCTCAACATCTCCTCCTCTCGTGTTCAAATGGAAATCATAGATCAATTCTCGGCTGGACAGTTAGCCTATCTGGTGAAATTTTCCAATGTTTGAGCGAAGGTTTTTCCGAAATCTGAGGAGGTAGCGGGGAAATTTCTTCTTATTTGTAGAGTACGCTTACTTGTGTGTAGGAATAAGATCACACGCTTGCTTGCAGATGACCGCTCCCTCCGTGCTGTGGCCGTGAACATGCCTCCTCGTCATGCCCTAGCCTATTTGGTGAAATTTTCCAATGTTTGAGCGAAGGTTTTTCCGAAAACTGAGGAGGTAGAGGGAAAATCTCTTTACTGTTGTAGAGTACGCTTACTTGTGTGTAGAAATAAGATGACATACTTGCTTGTAGACGAGCGCTTCCGCCGTGCTGTGGCTGTGAAAATACCTCCTATCATGAGGTGAGTGGGAATGTTCAGATTTTTTTGCATTTCCAGATGAACTCGCAGACCTGAGATGTGCCCATTGGATCCCCGTGAAAAATGCTATCGAATGATATGCATTACTCCCCAGTTGAAACTTTGGTTTTTCACCGTTTTCAGCCTTCCCCTATTGCCGGATTGGGCCCACGATTACTGCCCCAAAATCTCAAAGTTTCATTTTTCGTCGAAACTTTGCCTATTGGGGTAATTCGATGCCCTGATTACGAATATGACATTCATTCTCGTAGTGTGGCCCCAAACATCACACCTCGCCCCATTTTTTGCGACATGTTCCATGTTTAGAGCAGATGTTATGTAGAAAGCTGTGAAGGCAGCGACGAATTTCCTTACTGTCGTAGACTACGGTCACTTGTCTGTAGGAATTACATAGAAACCTTGGTGGCAGGTGAGTCTTCCTTCCGTAGTGCGACCCCAAACATCACACCTCGTCATGCCCTTGCGATATGATCAGATTTTTTTTGGTTCTCCAGATGAACATAGAAGACTGAGATGTGCACCATTCAATTCTCCCATAACAAATACTGTCGAACGGTATACAACTCACTTTCTGGGAACATCTAACTTTCTTGACACTAGATCCATTTTGTGACATTTCCCAATTTTCGAGGGGATGTTTTGAGGAAATTCAAGAAGGGAGGACGAACTTCTACTTCCGTATGTGAGTAGTTTCTTGTATGGGTTTAAAGCAATGATAAACTCGGGCTTTGAGCGAGTGTTTCTTCCCTGGTGTGGCCTCAAACATCGCTCTCCGTCATGCCCTGAAATAAAAACCAGATTTTTTGGTCTTCCCAGGTGGCTCTACGGATCTGTGGTGTACACCGTTCGATTCTCCATGCAAAATGCTATCGAACGATATACATCTCAGTTCCCACTTGAAACTTTCGTTTTTCACCGTCCCCATCGGACTATTGGCCTTTCGCGATCGTCTCTCAACCCTGGCACACGATGCGATTCACGTCGCGGTGCTGTCGAAACGCTAGGATGTAAATCGATCGGGTGCGCCAGCTAGCCGAGAAAGGATGGCTGTTCACGTGAGGTTCAGCACCGCGCACGTGGGATAGCACGTGGTACGGTGGCAGGGGGAGGAGGCGATCGGGCGAAGGAAAGGCGAAAGGATGAAAAAACGAAGTTTTCAGGTTGGGAATGAATAGACATTAACCTTGGATAGACATTTTGCATGGAGAATTGGAATGGTGACACACAGCTCATAGAGCACTGGAAAAGACCCGAAAAAATTGATTTTTATTTGGCAGGTATGACGGGAGCGTGTTTGAGGCAACAAATACACTTCGCTCAGTCGAGCTATATCATTCTTTTTCCAACATACGAGTAAAGCTCTACTGTACCGATAGGGAAGAGAGTTGTCCTCATTTCTTGTTATTTCAGCAAACATCTCGAATTGGGATGTCAAAATGGATCTAGTGGCAGGTAAACTAGATGTTCTCCAGAAAGTGAGTTGTATACCGTTCGACAGTATTTTTTATGGGGAATTGAATGGTGGCACATCTCAGTCTTCTATGTTCATCTGGAGAACCAAAAAAATCTGATCATATCGCAAGGGCATGACGAGGTGTGATGTTTGGGGTCACACTACGGAAGGAAGACTCACCTGCCACCAAGGTTTCTATGTAATTCCTACAGACAAGTGACCGTAGTCTACGACAGTAAGGGAAATTCGTCGCTGCCTTCACAGCTTTCTACATAACATCTGCTCTAAACATGGAACATGTCGCAAAAAATGGGGCGAGGTGTGATGTTTGGGGCCACACTACGAGAATGAATGTCATATTCGTAATCAGGGCATCGAATTACCCCAATAGGCAAAGTTTCGACGAAAAATGAAACTTTGGAGTGGTGGGGCAAGGTAGTCGTCGGGATCCAATCCCCGGCAATGGGGAGGTGGAACGGTGGAAAAACCAAAGTTTCAACTGGGAGGAGTAATGCATAACATTCGATAGCATTTTTCACGGGGAATCCAATGGGGCACATCTCAGGTCTGCGAGTTCATCTGGAAATGCAAAAAAAATCTGATCTTTCCACAAGGGCATGACGAGGGGAGGTCATTTTCACAGCCACAGCACGGCGGAAGTGCTCGTCTACAAGCAAGTATATCATCTTATTTCTACACACAGGTAAGCGTACTCTACAACAGTAGAGATTTGCCCTCTACCTCCTCAGGTTTCGGAAAAACCTTCGCTCAAACATTGGAAAATTTCACCAAATAGGCTAGGGCATGACGAGGAGGCATGTTCACGGCCGCAGCACGGAGGGAGCGGTCATCTGCAAGCAAGTGTGTGATCTTATTCCTACACAAGTAAGCGTACTCTACAACTAAAAGAAATTTCCCCGCTACCTCCTCAGATTTCGGAAAAACCTTCGCTCAAACATTGGAAAATTTCACCAGAAATAGGCTAACTGTCCAGCTGAGAAAATTGATCTATGATTTCCATTTGAACACGAGAGGAGGAGATGTTGAGCGCAGGTATTCATGTTAAGTCATTTAACGCCGCTGTGGAATAGGGACCATGAAATCTGGAAAAAGCAATCGATCCATTCACAATACAATGGACGATGTTGAATACGCGGCGCGTTCTGGGGCAACTGCTGAGACCCATCTCTCTGAAGAACGATCATGATGCATAAGCGGGATTATATGCGCACCACATTCAAACAATTTTTTCTCGAGCCAAAGCTCGAGTGCATGGCGCAATTGAAGTAGGGCTTTCCAAAAGTTTAAAAGCATATTCTTATAGAACTCGACGAGCTGAAATCAATGCTTTTTTTCAGATTTCGAAAATCTTAATTCTGAAGCGAGTTATAACGAAAAAACGAAAAAAAACGCGAATTTGCGTTTTTCGCGTGTTTTTTTTTTCGATTTTTTACGGCGAGTACCGTAGTTTTCCACATGGTTAGACTCGCCACAGAGAGACGAGTCCAATGGTGTAGAGCACCAATCATTTGACCCGCTTTGGGGGGAGTTATGAAGGGGCGACGCTTTGCGACGCTGCAAATCCGTCGCTCAGCGGAGAAATTTCAAAAGTTAGTGGCGGTATTGTACCTCTGTTAGTTCAGTACAACGAATCCCTTCCTCATCGAGGTTCCCATCACTTCATTCTGCCACATGCACACACCCCTACCTAATCGACTCAAACTACTTCAGGTAATCTTGAACTTCCATTTAGGACAGGTAACATGACTTTCAAAAGACCATAAATGAGTAGTAGCACACATACCGGGAAAACGGTGACAGCACCTTTATTTTGCGATCCTGGTATTGGTAGCCGTCTCTAAGTAAAAGCATTCATAGGTACAAAGATATTCTATTCCCGGATCACCATTAGCAAATTCCAAACTCACTGGGGAATTTGTAGCCCCAGAAACTAAAACCTTCGTGAACCTAAACTCCGTGAACCTAAAAAGCATGAAAAATCATTCCATATGCTCAACACTCTCACCTCAATCCTAAATTTGTATTTTACCTTTGATGTATGAAATTTTACCATCTTAACTACAGTCTACTGTTTCACCATGAAGACAAAACCACAGCCCATACAAGCGAAATCCAAAATAATTCGGTTAAAGCATACCTTCGAGCGAGTCCTCCACCAAGGGTGTTTGGCGGCGAAGTGTTTTGTTGGTGCACAAACAATGCTTCTAGCGCCTCTCGTCCACGGCTGACTAACGTACTGGGGCTATTCGTATTCGTATGAATCGCTCGTTTCGCTGAAGGGCTATTCGAAAGCGGGGCATCGTCGTTAACATTAAATGTTAACGTTGATGGCTGGTTGAACTGCTTACGACGAATAACGGGAGTGATCAACCCTTCATTGATCGTCTGAAAAAGTGGAGAAATTGGACGATCATTATAAAATCGTATCGAACTGCTTACTGAAATTGGAAATCACTTTCAATAAAATTTTACTCCAGTGCCCAGTAAAGCTGGGAAAAGGAGAAGAACGCTAAGAAAGTTCTTTCAAATCCCTCACCGACAGCTCTCCGTCGCCATTCCTTCCCAACTTCTCTTTCAGCGCTTTCGCTGACTGGATAACGACACTGGACGGTTCTGGTGAGAGATTCGGCACTGACATACGATGCTCTCGCTGAGACGCTCGGGATGTATAACGTGGAGATTCTTCGCCGTTACGCTGGCTGGAATCCCAATTGTTTCGCTGTCTGTAAACGCGAAAACTTTTCAACAACAATTATCTCTCACTGGAAATACTTTTCCAAAGAGACTAATCGATTAATACGTTGATGACCGGGCGGTTCATATATGTCCCACAATGTCACACGGAGGGGACTTGTTTTGTGTGATTTGTGCCTCCATTTTTATGTTACCAAAACTGTTTACATTCATTATTGGATACTAAGAAATGGTACAGTGATTACCAACAGGGAAAATACCGGTCAATTCACGAGACATTTGTAAAAAAAGGGGTAGATGGGTTTCCAACGTCAACGTCGTTCAAAAGACAGAAAAGATGAAGGAAAACAAAAGATGTAGACCAACTGAAGTGGCAAACATAGAAGTGAGTAATCTTCCTGAAAAAGA